ATGCTTGTTATGATGTTATGTTACAAAATTAAATGAGCAAATTCTGCTAGATTTGTTTCTGTGCTCCAGGAAGTCAGGGTCTCATGAACGGTGGTATGGTTTTGCATCTTGTGTCAGATTTAGCTACATAAAGCGGAAACAGGGACTTTGGCTGACTGCCAGCGTTGACCACAATTAAACTGTCTTAACTGGCTGATTCTGGCAACAAACTGTTAACAACCAATCCTAAAAATGTATGCTTTTGTATGGAAATTTTGCTCATCTCCAAAAATGAAAGCCTGTTGGTGTCCTTGAGAAAATAGGTGAGAGGAAAGTTACTGGCTGCATCTGTTCTCCTTTTTTATCACAATACAGAAATTTCCATCTTGCTTTACAAGAGTCGTGTGGTTTTCTAAGAACGGTCTAGCACTGTGTACATTTCACTTTCACTGTAGTTAGAAATGCACTCATTAATGAGTTTCTCATCCTAAAAAATAAAAACAGCTTTGAAATTCCCCTTAAAGGGTAGCCAAGTGTTACTGGTAGCTAACTGTTACAGATCTTACCTCCCAAAAGCATTCAGAAGAGCAACTACCTCCTGACGTGTGAGTTGAAAGCCTTTGGATGGGCTGTTCTCCGGAAGGTTTTTAATTTCTTTTTCTGAAAATAAAATCTTCAGCGCAGCGCCCAATCCCTGGGTCTGCACAGAGAGAAACCCAACATTATTTGAGAAAACACAAAAAGATCCTGCTAGCTTGACTCGTTTTCCAGACTCTGAGAAAGAGAGGATGCCTCGGAACAGTGGATCAGCACAGACAAGAAATTAGTTTTCACAAGCAGAACTAAACTGTTACCCAACACTAGATGTAAGAGCTGATCCATGCCACTGGAAAACAGTATTGCTTTGCTGCACGATCCAGGCTTGGGTTTGAGGAGAGATGTGCAAAAAGTAAATGAGAGTTCTTGAACAAGTCTTAATGTGAATATTCTGCTGAACTGCCAAAGGTAGATACATTTATGTGGTAAGAGACAGAAACAAAGCATGCTGCTGCATTAGCCAATCGCATGCCATGCATGACCGGGAGGAACAAAGATGAATTGGCAGAGGTCACCCTGCACGAGAAAGAGATGATCATACCTGGAGCTTGCCCCACAAGCGGCACTTGCTGCAGCCGACACAGTCCATTATACGGGAGATATTCTTGAAATGGAGCCTGAACTCCTCCTAGGAAAACAGAAATTGATTCTGGGTTTTAGATTTACTTCTCTTATGGAAACAAACAGTTTAGGAGAACTCCAGTTGAGAGGGAGAGAAGGACAGATGAATTCATATTAAAAGGCACACTAACACTAGATAAGGGTATAGAACCTGTTCAGGGAGTTCCACATTTATGTTTTGATGAAGTTATGTACTGGAAGTATTTCTTACGAGCACAAATATTTAACACCAGATGCTAGGCAATTATTCAGACAGTAAGAACATAGCTACAGATGTAGATACAGAAACCAAAATGCATTTGTTATAGTTATTTTTACAAGCAATGCAAATCCCTACACTCTGGTTTGCATAAAGAGCTGTGGTTTTCAAAATAATTTGTCACTTGTTGTCTTAAAGTGGGGAACAGATGAGGATACACTAATGCTGTCCGAGTCTAAGCAGGCATTTATTTAATTTGTCTAATGAAGGTTACAGAGAAAAAGAAAAGCTGCCAGTACCACTCTGTGTAGTGAAAAACAGGAAATGCATCTCTGCCTGAATGACTGCAGTACACATTGAAGCAACAGAAACAGAGACTAGTCATTTACAAAACCCTTTATTAATTATCTTCAGTGCCATACATAATTAATCAGTTTGAGCAATACCGGAGTCGTGTCTGTCCTGGGGTCAGAGAACAGAGAAACAGCAGGGAGATTAATTAAAACCATTTCTGTGCCCTTCTTGGTTTTTATTTTCGTCTAAACTCCGTCAGCAACAGAGGTT